TCAAAATTTCTTCCCTGGTCAGAGTGCAGCTCTATAGGTACACCGTATCTCGCAACCCAATTGTAGGTGAATACCTCCGCTACTGTTTTAGCTTCCTGGTTTGGAATCGGGTATACCTCCGGCCATTTGCTAAAGTAGTCCATAACCACAAGGACGTATTTGTTTCCCTGTGCGCTCATAGGAAATGGACCGGCTACATCCCTGGCAATCCGCTCAAAAGGTGCACCGGAGTTATACTGCTTCATCTGACCATGACTTCTGGATTTCGGCCCTTTAGCTGCAATACACTCCGCGCAGTTAGCAATCCACTCTGCGACCGATTGCCGACAACCAACCCAGTAGAACCTCTGCTTACCTTCTCCATGGTCTTCGTGATTCCCAGGTGCCCTCCACTAGGACCATTGTGGAATTCCTTGTGTACATCTGGAATTCTTACCCTTGGAACTACTATCAGGTTGCGGGAGCACTGGCCATCTTCGCTTTCCCATACCCTATGCAAACAGCCAGATATTAATCTTAATCTGTTCCATTGGGCCCAGTACGCCTTTGCGATGGGGCTTTCCGCTGCCATTTGCTCCTTGGTTGGTCTTCTGTCCACCTCCAGTCCATGCAACAAAAGCTCCAGATCAGGATCTTCCTGCTGACACTTTCGTAGCTGTTCTTCCTTCCACTCTTCCGCTGGTGTTATTGTCGTTAGACGAACGTCTATAATGTCCTTTTTGCCTTCAGCTTTTGAGCAGTGTTTACATTCCAGGCTACATGGTCGGCGGGACATGGCATCAGCATTACCGTGGACACTTCCCTTGCGGTGCTCAATAGCGAAGTCATAACATTGCAGTCTCTCAATCCACCGAGCTAGCTGTCCTTCTGGACTCTTAAACTGTAGTGAAGTGGCTACTTCAGCGCTGCATGGTCCGTTCGAACTAGGAAACGTTGCCCATAGAGGTACTTGTGGAAATGTTTGACGCAGTCCACCAACGCTAGTAGTTCTCTCCGAGTTACGCAGTAGTTCCTCTCTGGTTTTCCAATCGACCGGCTATAGTAGGCAACTACCTTCTCCTGCCCATCAATTACCTGCGACAGTACGCCTCCTATGGCATAACC